AATGGGTTGCCTTCAGATGTTGTATAGGCAGTAAATTTAAGTGAGTTTAAGAAAAAGCTTGATAAGTATATGAAAAGAGCTGGCTTTAAGATTTATTTTATTTTATTATTATTTTTTAACCATTTTAATTTAGTTTAGAGGATGGAACAACCGAGATGGACCAATAGGTCTCATGTTGTCCCAAAACATTATGTTATGTTAATAAGGTTCAAAATAGATAAGTTTAGCATTTCACTTTTTTTTTGTTGTTGTTGTTGATTGGAACAAAAGTAGAGGGTGAGAGCTTTAAAAGTTTTAACCTGAAGTTTTACCTGCAAATAAGGACCACACTTGCCTGCGGAATCGAATTAAGTCGAAATATTGAGATATAAATTCATATAGTGTGGATACATTTATTTATTACTTTGAATGTAATTTTTTGCAAATCACTTCTGTTATAATTACAAAGAGATAAAAAAAACTGTATAATCAAGTTTCATTTTAATGAACGGGAACTTTAAACTGTAAAACTTACGTGCCACCATAGATACACGCCATTTGTAATTCACTTCCCCAGAGGATTAGTTTATTAGCTGGGGAAACATACTGTCTCACTGGTTGTTGAGTAACGGGTTCCCCAACTGAATAAAAACAGTTACAAGAAAACTTATATTAATGAATTTAGAAAACTATGATTTGTTTTTATAAGGCAGATATTGTAAAGTTACACACATTTATGTATACAAAAATAGATTTTCTATTAGATTATTGTCATGGTTTTAAAATGATAAGCGTAGTTATAATGTTCAGTATGGAATGTTTGATAAACGTATATTGACGAACGTAGTTCATAAAGTGTACGGATTCTACTTCAAACATTCAGATTTAAGATGTATAACACTTAGGCTGGTGAAGTTGCTAGGTAGCTTGAGTAAATGTCATACCATAATAAGACCTGATAATAATTATTAAATCTTTAGTAGCCCTGTACAGGTTTTCAGTTGCATTTCAACCGCACACTTTGAGTGTGGTATGCTGCTGCTGACGATGCCTATCGCTTAGCAACTTTCACGCCACATAAAGCCTCAGTCAAAATGCTATTTATACCAGTCGTTTATAAGACAAATGTTATGGTGTAAAACTTATAAGCTGGCAAAGCATTATCTCTTGATGTTTAGTTTACGTGACGATATTACATCACAATGAAACTGTAAACCTAGATCATCTGATGAATTATTGAATCGTTCGCAGTGCGTGCAACATGCTAAGTGTGGTTGAAATGCCATTGGAAATTGGAAGCCCGTGAGGGCCAAGAAAGAAATATGTGATATCAATAGGTGAACATAAAATGAGTTATACTGTTAGTATTAATATATGAACAATAAGTGGCTAATTCATATAATACGTTTCATTTAGACTTAATGAATAAATGTGAACTTCAGGTAATTTTCAAAAAGCAGAAGAACTTACTTTCTCTTGGAATGACAATTAGTTTTCTTTTATTCCCCGTTTTTAGTTCATTCCGAAATAATGATGACACAAAACAAGAGTAAACGGCGTCATTAAGGCTGTCACCCAAGGTAACATAGGAAAAGTGTAAGCCTCCCTCAGGATCTAAAGTCACTCGTGAACTGTTGAAAAGTTTGATGGAATTTAAACAACAAACACATGGAAAATCAGATAAGTTAGCTTTACTTAATTGATTACTAAACATCAACTTTAAACTAACTAGTGAAAAACCACAGTAAGCTAGCTCCTAACACACACACACACATATATATATATATATATAAACAACAACACCATAGACCAGCGCGATCAATATATTAATAATTTTCAAAGGTCGACGGTCCAAAAAACTTAAATGTTTAAAATTACAGACTAAACGTTTAGTTTATTAACTTTTAAAATAAAAATTATTGTGTTAAAATGTATTGTTACCAATGGCGGGAAAGGTATTAACCCCTCCCCACCTAGCTCTTACCGACCAACATACAGTATATATGATTATCTAAGTGTATAAAAACGTTGGCTCACTGAAATCGAGACAAGTTAATACTGTAACGTCTCCGTTCGTTAGTTGATTTTCCGTAACTTCATTCCGACGAAACTTTAGCGACACAAGTCCTTTCTTAAATAAAACTGGTTTATTCTTTCCGAATACAACTTTACGATACACTCAGCTTCAACAGTCGCGCTATAACAAACGCTATATCTCACGTGGCCAACAATATTTTGACCGCATACATTCAATTAACTAAAACTTCAGGTTCCACCGAGATTTTAACTCGGATCCCTGGATTCAAAGTCCAGAGTGCTGACCACTACACCATGGAACCATCTGAAAATTTCGTTAATGCCACTGAAGATATCATTAACCAGAGTAGAACTAACACAAAAATCCTTACATTGTTTTAAAGTCAAAATAGTTTTAAAGACACAAAAATTTAGTGTTTCACGAACTTCTGTCCACTGAATGTTTCTGGTGTTTATATATATCCGGTAAAGACTTTCCAAAATTAACGTTACAA